TGTTAGGATATGCTGTGTTATTTAATCTTAGTGCGTGAAATCTATGCAGCGTTATGGTATGCTATGTGCGTTCACATATCTCTTCTGGTATGGTATGCTATGATATGCCAAGTTATGGTATGAGATGTTACGTTATGTCGTTTTGGTGTCATCGCGGGTTCTCTTCGGGGTCCTCTTGGGTGCCCCGCGCGGACAGAAATGACGCCAGCTTCATGGCGTCGGAAGTGACGTAAAAGCGGAGAACCTATCTGTGTGCGAAACGAGGCACGCTTTGTGCAACTATCAACGTGGCGGAACTATTCAATGCGTGCCTCGCACGTAGCTTGGACGAAAAAGGCGCCTTCCCTTCGGGCGCGAGCATCGAGGCCAACTGCAGTGAACGCAATCGGCTGCCGAGTCGGATTCAACCGCGGCTCCTGCAATCACCGAACACAGCCGTGGCAACAATGCCTTTGCGGTGCTCTCTGGAATGCCCCTGCAGGGGCGACTGCAAATGCAACGCCTAAGCAGCAACGCTCAAAAACACGTGGCCCGCGTCAGTTACCCCCCAGCCCCCAGTCCGCAGCGCGGATGCAAGGGTCGCGCGCTCTCAGGTCGAGCTCCAACGTGCGGTAGATCCAAGACAGCGTCAGTGCCACCGCCGCCGCACACGAATACCAATAAAACAACGCACGTGCGGGAACATACGTCAAGGAAGCAATGCCCTCAGACCCTCAGAAAGCTGAATGTTGACTGACATCCACAAGCACGCATCTTTTGATCGTTTTCCACAACCACGCCTCGAACATTCGAGGCTGTAACTGCGCACTGTCCACAATCAGAATGCAGCTGGGTCAGCTTCTGGTTCAGAACCTTCGTCCACACGTTGAGGCCGCTCCCGTCGCTCAAGCTCGCTCCAATCAGCTCCATATCGCGCGCGGCCCGCCACGCGAGCCACGCGTCGTGTCTGAACAGGTGGACGGAATGCCATGTGCTCCTCCTTTGAACCCTGCGAGCAATTCGAAAGCCAAGCGTAAGCGAAACCCAGCGGCCTGCCCATAGCAGGGTACACGTGTGGATTTGCCGATGCTGACATCCTTAGCGTCTTGATGCATTTGCCGCGAGCAGGATTTGATGCATTTGCCGTGGATAAGAGATACTGGGATACTGGCACCTCATTGCAGCTGGAATTGGGCAGACGCGCCGCCCTGCGAGCGTCGGCGCGTCGCCCTGAGAGCGTAGACACCCATGTTCTCAAGTCGCTGTGGCGACCTGCGACCACATGTTCCCAAGTCGCCAGGCAGAGTTGGCACACCGTGCTCAACTTGACACGGCGACTTGAGAACATATGTTCGCAAGTCGCCAGGGCGACTTGAGAACATGTAGTAATAGATTGCGATGATGTGTTCTCAACTCGGCCTGGGGACTTGGCACCATATGTTCCGAAGTCCCCAGGGCGACTCCGCACATATCAACGAAGTGAGTGAGCGAACCTGCGCCTATATGTCCCCAAGTCGCCAGGGCGACTTGAGCACATGGATCGCCGCGGTGCGATTGTTGATGCGATCGGAGCACGAAGGGCATGTCAGGCCAACTCGGGCCAATCCGCGATTCAGATTTATGGTGTTGCTCATCAGGTTTCGCGTCCGCGTGCTCCACCCCTGCCTCATTATCCACATGAAGCCCCCCCCCCCCGCAAGCTTTGAGCGGCGAGGCCGAGGACTCCTCGGCCATGAGCGCCGCGAGCGTTACCATGCTCTCGGGCGCCGGCGCTTGCAGGGGTTTCCCCTCGCAAGCGGTGAGCATCCTATGGGCGACACTGTCCGCGGAAACTGCCGCCCGCAACGGGCGCCCCCCGAGGAGCTGAGCGGAAGGGGCGAAGGTTCCATGGTCAATTGTTCCTACTGCGGGCGCGGCGCGTAGCCTCGGACCGCCAAGAGCATCGTGGGTAGGTCAGACCTTCCAAATCCTCGAACACGTCGAAAGCGTCTGGGGGCCTGGGAGAACCCATCATATCCTCAAGGCTGCGCGCGAAAGCTGGCGAGGCAGGGGAGTCACCAGCGTCCGCCGCCGAAAGCAGCGCGCCCGCACGAGGCGGGCCGGTCGCCACCCGTGCAGAACTGGCGCCCCGCCGCGGGAGGGCCGGCACGCGCGGGGGAAGGTGCGACGGAGAGGCCGAGCCCCTCCCGAGCATCAGGTCGGCAACGGCGGCAGAGGTGAGCGAAGGACTACAGTCGGGACGTTGACATAATGAACCCTACATAAGGAATGAGGCCCTTTTTGTCCACAAGTTAAACTTCGATTCCCAATCGAAAACCTAAGGACAACCTAAGACAAGCTGCGAACCACATGAGGAACACGGAACACCCCCCAACGAAAAGGGTTCCCTCTTCAGCGCCCCGCTTGTATGATGACGCTTTTACCCGTCTCCACTATCCTAAAATCCAACGCGCACTTGCCAACGCCTGCGAGCCGAAAGGGGCAGCGGGCACAGCGAAGGAGAGGATAGGCAGGGGGCTCACTCCCAGGGAGGAGGGAGGGACAACGAGCGAACCACAACTCATGGGGTCCTGGTGCAAGCATGCGGTTCTACTTGGAATGGTTGCACCTTGCGAGCTCGAAATAATGAGGAAGGGGAAGGGGAGAAGGAGGAGGAGGAGGAGGAGGAGGAGGAGGAGGAGGAGGATAAGGAGGGATCAGAAACACTCCTCACATGTTCCACAATTTGGTGTCGCCTAAAACTCCCCGTATATTTTTAAACAACCAATGAGTGTGCGGTCTGGTCGGCTGGCGATCCCCGAATTGCCTGGGGTTGCTCGGGGTTCCTCGGGTTGCCCGGTCACCCAGATGCCTGGCCGCCCTCGAATTGCCCAACCTCGTTCGAATTCCCCGGTTGCCCACGTGCCAAATAGGATCAACTTTTTTATTTCCCGAGATGGCGGCCGTCATCGGCCCCGCCCCCCCCCCGCCCCCCCCCGCCAGGTGACGTCGCGTTCCGCGCTGGCGGCGTCGGAGAATGTCCAGGGATGACCGAGGCCAAGTAGGGCCAGCATGTTGGCGGCGATCTTCAACGCAGCGCCTGTGCACACAACAAATACTCGCGTGCACCACCGTGCGCGTGTACACCAAAGCGCCTGCGTACACCGCAACAGCTGTGTGCAACGTAGCGCCTGTGTGCACCAGAGTGCCTGCGTGCACCGCAGCGCCTGTGTACGCAACAACTAACGTGTACACCGCAGCGCCTGTGCACACCACGGTTCCTGTGTGCAACGCTGCGCTGATGTACGCCTCAGCGCTTGCGTGCACAGGAAAGTTAGAAAGAGCATGCACGTGAGGATCTGATGCGGACACCTAAGCACAACGCCAGAGGGGGTGCTGATAATAGAATGCAAGACTCGTCCCTCCTCCTTTTTCCTCCTCCTCCTCCCCTTTTTCGTCCTCCGCGTCCTCCTCCTCCTCCTCCCTCACCACTCCCTCCGTCGTGCGGGTCGGCGCTACAGCGCACGTGCGCGTCTCAGCGTGCACCGCAGAATGGTCGATTGAATCGGTCCACTTGGTTCTCGGACGGCCAATTTTGCGGGAACCGAGTGGGCGCAAGTGGGAGGAGTTGGGATGATGCGGGAGGATTCAGGAGGTTACGTAGATTCCACTGGCGCTCCTTGTTCCATGAGAACTCATTTTTTTCCAAATCCGATGGACAAGAAATGCTCCAGTTTGTCATAAAAGGGCCCCTTTCACCTTCTACGTATATATACACATACACCACACGGATGCTTTGTTGCACGCGGTTGCTGTGGTGCACACAAGCGCCGTGGTGCACGCAGGGGCTATAGTGCACGCGAGCACTGTGGTGTACTGTGGAACTGCGTTGCACACGGCTGATGTGGTGTACGCAGGCGCTGTGGTGTACACAAGCGCTATGGTGCACGCGGGCACGGTGGCACACACTGGCGCCGCGTTGCGCGCGGCTGCTGTGGTGTACATAGGCGTCGTGGTTTACACAGGCGCTGTGGTGCACGCGGGCACCGTGGTATACACAGGCGATGCGTTGCAAATCGCCACCTACATGCTGTTGCTACCCGCCCTCGGTCAATCCTAAACATTCTACTAAGACGCCGATGGCACGAAACGCGACGGCATCCCCCCCCCCCACCCCCCAGATGACGGCCGTCATCGGCCCAGAGTATTTAATCAACAAAAAATGTCATTGCTGGCCGAACTCGAAGTGGCCGTTGCCCAGTTGCCAAGCAAGGCAATTCAAAGCCAAGCAACACGCAGCGACGCCAAGCAAATCAACGCAACGTAAAAATGCCAAGACATGCAGTGCAATGCCAGAAAATATGCCCAGCAACGCAATACCACGCAAGGCAACTCAACGCAATGCGACGCAACGCCAAGACATGCCAAGCAACGCAATTCGAAGCAATGCCGAGCAATGCCAAGCTTTGCCACGCAATGCCAGGCACTGCCAAACAACGCCAAGCAACTCCCAGCCATGTAAGGCAATGCCCAAACAAATCAACGCAAAGCACCGCCAAGCACTGCGCAAGCCAAGCAATGCAAAACAACGCAAGGCATACACTTCCGTGGTGAGCTACTTACTCTGGAAACTTTCAACCGCATGGGGTCTCGCCAGGTTCCCGTTTTCCATCGTGCTCGGAAGACGTTTGCAACGGCGTGGCCAGTGGCACCGTTAGGGCCGACCTACCACTGCGAGCCCGAAGCAAATTCTGCGCTTCAAACCCTGGAAATTGGTTCGCACGCGCGGGCAAAACGCGCAGCAATCCACACCTCCGTAATCCAGCGCAAACGTTCCTCGTGCATTTCAGCACCCGTCAGCTTTGGACCAAGCGGGCGCGCCGCGCACTCACTCCCACGACGTGAGCCGAATCGGACCTCGGCGCAGGGCGCGAAGGTCTTCAGAAGCATTTCGAGAAGCGCCCCCAACCGACGCCGCATCTCCCCGAGCAGCACTTGCTGTCCCTGTCGCATAGCTTGCCGTTGGACTTGCAGCCGCCCTCCTACTGGTCAGAGTCGCCGCCCTGCGTCGTGTCACCCTGCGACTGATCCGTCTGCGCGAGGCTGGCCCCATCGGCGCAGCGACCCAGAACCTGCCCAGGGATCATAGAGCCGCCGCCGACGCAACTCCCCGAGCAGCACTTGTCGTCCGACATGCACATATCGCCTTGCAGCCGCCCTTGGACTTGCAGACTGATCCGCCGCTCCTCCTGGTCAGAGTTGTCGTCCGACCCTGCGCAGCCGCCCTCGTCAGAGTCGCCGCCCTGCGTCGTGTCACCCTGCGACTGATCCGTCTGCGCGAGGCTGGCCCCATCGGCGCAGCGACCCAGAACCTGCCCAGGGATCATAGAGCCGCCGCCGACGCAACTCCCCGAGCAGCACTTGTCGTCCGACATGCACATATCGCCGTTGGACTTGCAGCCGCCCTCCTCCTGGTCAGAGTCGCCGCCCTGCGCCGTGTCACCCTGCGACTGATCCGTCTGCGCGAGGCTGGCCCCATCGGCGCAGCGACCCAGAACCTGCCCAGGGATCAAGCCGCCGCCGCATCTCCCCGAGCAGCACTTGCTGTCCCTGTCGCATAGCTTGCCGTTGGACTTGCAGCCGCCCTCCTCCTGGTCAGAGTCGCCGCCCTGCGTCGTGTCACCCTGCGACTGATCCGTCTGCGCGAGGCTGGCCCCATCGGCGCAGCGACCCAGAACCTGTCCAGGGATCATAGAACCGCCGCCGACGCAACTCCCCGAGCAGCACTTGTCGTCCGACATGCACATATCGCCGTTGGACTTGCAGCCGCCCTCCTCCTGGACAGAGTCGCCGCCCTTCGTCGCGAAGAAGGTCCTGAGCTGCGCGAGCCCTGCCTCTTCGCACCCGCCCGCGGCCTCGCAGGACTCGGCCTCCTGTTTGAACGCCCGAAGTGGGCACGGAAAGAATGGGCACAATGCCCAACAACAAGTGCTGTCCCAAACCGACAGCGGCCGCTGTTAGGGAGGCGGCCTCCTGTCTCGAATGGCCACAGGCCGCGGCGGCGTGGACAGCGAGTCCTGTTCAAAATGAACAGAAACTGCTGTTGGGCATTGTGCCGTCGGGGCGTTGACCTAAGGAGCCCTGAATAAGGAACGAGGCCCCTTTTTCCCATAAGTTCAACCTCGATTTCCGATCGAAAACATGAAGGAAAGCCTGAGGAAAGCTGCGAAACACTTAAGGAACGCGGAGCCCCTCCCCAACGAAAAGGGTTCCTTCTTCAGGGCCCCGACTGTACCCGTTCTTTCCGTACCCACCAGATCCTGCGCAGCCGGCACGCCCCGCACGAGCAGGGCCAGCCCGACCAGCCCAGCAAGCGCCGTGGGCAGATGCATCGCGAGGCTGCTGCTGCAGCGCGCGGGGCGGCGAATCTGGCGCGCTGGCTGGAACTGGGCACTGGATCCGAAGCGGCTCGGGCCAAACTGGGGACTGACACTAAAACAGGGCTAGGATCGGGATAAATCGCTCCAGAGCGTTCCGGAGCGCTCTCAGAGCGTTCCGGAACGGTCTGGAGCGGCCGCGGCGCCCAATACATCCTCCAAAGGGCGCCTCCGCACGCGCGGCAACCGGCTCGCGCGAGCAGCACAGCGCGCCCCGCGAGGCGCGGCGCGCGGTGGCCTTCGCGCCCTCGCGCCGCCAGGCGGAGGAGGCCAGCTCGGCGGCCCCCACCGCGGCGCGCGAAGGGCGGACATCTTCGCGCCCCCGGAGGGCGGCCCGGATACCTGGATGAATCAAAGACTGCCCCAATAGCCATCGCTCGGACGTCTATTCCCTGTGTTTTTGTTCGGTTTCGTGCGTGGTTGTTTCGCCAAATGATCAAGGATGCTCCTCGATGGTTCTCGCCGAAAAAAAATGCACACGTCCGAGCGATGCCAAGCCCAAGGAAGTGGGCAAGACCTCCAGGGTGGCCCAGATACCTGAATGAATCAATCGGGGATGGACAGACCCCCCTCGAGTAAAACGTGGTTTAGTGAAAACGACCTGAGGCCCAAACCTGGCGGTTGCAAGCCTGGGGAATAAGGGCCACGGCGCCCTCTCGAGAACCGAAAAAGGACAATTCACGAATCGACGTGTCACTGTTGGGGGCTCTGTCCACCCCCGAACCAAAGACTGCCCCAATGAAGTGGGCAAGACCTCCAGGGCTCCACGCTGCAAAAACAGACTGCGGCGCTCGAGATCTGACAGGCGGCCCAGGGCGCTCCCCCTCGGGCCCGGCCGCGCGAGCCGGCAGGCGGCAGGCCCCATCTGCGGCGCAGGCCGAGCCCGAGGCAGCCTGCGTGTGGACGCCCGATATCTTGCCGTCGCTCGGACGTCCATTTCCCGTGCATTTTTCGATTTCGTGCGTGCTTTTTTCGCTCGATGATCCAGGATGTTCCTCAAGGGTCCTCGCCGAGAAAACAAAAAGTACAGAAGTCCGAGCGATGCCAGGAAATGGGCACGGAGAACATGGGCACAGTGCTCAACAACAGATGCTGCCCCAAACCGACAGCGGCCGCTGTTGGGCAGGCGGCCTTCTGAATTGGAACTGACGTTTCGAATTCTCCCCCCCCGGAAATGGACCTCAAGGCCCCCAGAAGCCCTCGAGGCCCCAAGAGGCCCCCAAGAAACCCCAGAGGGCCCCCCCAGATGCCCCCAAGAGCACTCCAAGGAGCCCCTCACAGGCACCACAAGAGCCACTCACATGCACCCAAGAGGATCCTGGCCCACAAGATCACCTGCACGATCAGGTAAGCCCTCACTCCTTCTGGGGGTTGGCGGAATGACGCAAGCCGCTTGGATCATCGAAGAGTATGAGTAGGAAGGGTCGCTTCCTGCTGCCTTCTCCTGGCCGGAAGACAGGCTGACGCCATCGAATACTGCAGCCTCGGATCAGGAAGCAGAGGAGGATGGCGAGGGTGAGATCAGGATGAGGAAGAGGAAGAGGAAGGAGGACAATGAGGAGCAGCAGCGGCAAGGGCTGCTTCGCATCGGAGCAGGAGACGACCAGATGCCACCAAGCTCAGGAGGCAGCCTCAAAACATTGCGGGCCCGCGTCGCTCGTCGCGGCGGGAAGGCCGTCCGCCGAGGCCGGCCCTGGAGAGGTAGGGCGGAGCCTTGCGTGCGAGAGGACGAACGGTCGTGGGGGAACGGGAAAAAGAAGCCTGCCGGGAACTCCGGGGGGAGCCTTCGGGGCCCTCATGGGCTGTCCGGATCGTCGGGGCCGGCTGGGCTGGTCGTCGGGGCCCTCACGGGCATCCGGGGGGCCTGCTGGGCGGACAGTCGGGAGAGGCCCGGGCCACACAGAGTGCCCCGCCGACCGCACCACTCCACTCTTCCTGCTGTCCGCTCCACACTCTTCCCAACTCCTCCAGGCTCCTCCGCGCTCTTCCGACCTCCGCAGTCCTCCACACTTTTCCATCCTCCGCCGTCCCTCGGCGGCCCCCCCCCCTCCCTCCCCCAGCCTCCTCACCCTTCCCCCGCCATCACCCTCCCAGTCCCCCCAGTCCGCTCCACCTCTCCGCTCCTCCGCGCTCCACGCCGCCGCGCTCCACCCCGTCCCACTCCTCCCACCTCTATCACCCACTCCTCCCCGCTCCTGCCCGCCGCTCCCCCCCACTTCTCCCCCATCTCTCCCGCGCCCCTCCACATCCCAATCACCTCTCTCGTCACTCCTGCACTTTGTGGGCCCCGGAAACGGCAGGGCAACTTTTTCACCGTTTCCCGAAAACGTGTCCCTCGAAAATGGAAGCGGCAACAACAACGGCGACCGGAAACGGCAAAAAAACGGCTCCAAAATCGGGACTGTGGCCGGAACCAATCAAAATCGGCTCCAAAATCGGAACTGTGGCCAAAAAAACGGCTCCAAAATCAAAACTGTGGCCAGAAAAAGAGGCCCTAGTGGCCGCGACCGCATGTGTGACTGCGCACATTCTGGCATACCCCTCACGCGCTTCGTGGCCTCATAGGGAGCCCCACCGAAGGCCTCAGTGGCCGCGACCGCATGTGTGACCGCGCCCCATGGGGAGCTCCACCGACGGCCGGCCCCCAGTGGCCGCGGCAGCATGGGGACCGCGCCCATTCTGACACACACCTCGCAGTTTTCGTTGCCCCATCGGCAGCTCCACCGAAGGCCCTGGTGACCGCGACTGCATGTGTGACCGCACGCATTTTGGTACGCCCCCCACACGCTTTGTGGCCCCAAAGGGAGTTCCACCGAATGCCCCATTGGTCGCGACTGCATGTGTGACTGCACCATCTTTGGCACACCCTCACCCGCTTCGTGACCACATGGGAAGTTCCACCGAAGGCCCCAGTAGCCGCGACCACAGGTGTGGCCGCGCACATTTTGTTACACTCCTCACACGTTTCGTTACGGCATATGGGAGCTCCACCGAAGGCCCCAGTAGCCGCCACCGCATGTGTGACTGCGCTCATATTGGCACACCCCTCACGTGTTTCGTGGCCTCATCGGTGCCCCCTTCGAAAGCCCCAGTGGCCGCGACCATGTTTGTGCCCGCGCGGATTGTGGCACACCCCTGACGCGTTTGGTGGCAGCATGGGGGGGCCCCACCGAAAGCCCAAGTGGCCGCGGCCGCATTTGTGGCCGCGCCCAGTTTGAGACCCCTTCACACGCTTCGTGGCCCCATAGGGGGCCCTACCGAAGGCCCCAATGGCCGCGACCGCATGTGTGGCCGCCCACATGTTGGCGCCCCCCCCACACCTTTCGTGGCCATATAGGGAGCCGACCGAAGGCCACAGTAGCCGCCACCGCATGTGTGACCGCGCGCATGTTTGGCACACCCCTCACACGCTTCGTGGCCGCATAGGGAGCGCCACCGAATGCACCAGTGGCCGCGACCGCATGTGTGACCGCGTCAATTTTGGCACCCCCATCCACACGCTTCGTGGCCGTATAGAGAGCCCCACCAACTGCTCAAATGGCCCCGACTCAGGTGTGACCGCACTCATGTTGGCACCCCCCTCACACGGTTCTTGGCCCCAGAGAGGAAGTTCCATCGAATGCCCCACTGGCCGCAGCCGCAGTTATGGCCGCGCACATGTTGGCAAAACTGACACACGCTTCTTGGCCACATGGGGAGCTCCACCGAAGGCAACAGTAGTAGTAGTAGTAGTAGTAGTAGTAGTAGTAGTAGTAGTAGTAGTAGTAGTAGTAGTAGTAGTAGTAGTAGTAGTAATAGTAGTAGTAGTAGTAGTAGTAGTAGTAGTAGTAGTAGTAGTAGTAGTAGTATAGTCGAAGCCGTAGTCGTCGTAGCAGTAGTCATAACAAGGGAACTCATGGTAAAACGTAGCAAAGTAGAAGTAACATGGCCAGCAGCAATAGTAGTGGCTGTCATAGAGAGTAGCAGCCAGGGTACCAGCCCCCGAGGTGGGAATGGAAGCAGTATGTGGGCGTACGAGCAATAGTATTACAGTATGAGTAGTCGTAGAGAATAACACCAGCAGAACGCACATGAATTGGAATAGCAGCAGTGTCAGTTGACGCAAAAAACCATGGCAGCGTAGTAGTAGTAGTAATAATAATCGCAGTAGTAGTAGTAGCAGCAGTGGTCGTAGCATGCTATTACTAGTACGATATAGTAGTAGTAGGCTTATACCTATGCGGCCACCAGTCGGGTGATAAGGAGGTCGAGGGGGAGGGGGACCCAACACCTCAATCGATCGACCTCCCGATCGATCACTATATCGATCCAACTGTGGGGTCTCGCGACCGATCTGATTATCGATCTCACGATCGATCTCACCATCGATCTCGCATCGACCTAATTACCGATGCCACTATCGATGTCGTGGTCGATCGCACGAACGATCCCACTTACGACCTCGCGATCGATCCCACGACCGACCTCCCCATCAATCGCACTATATCGACCCCACAGCCGATCGCACGACTGATCCCGCTATCGATCTCACGATCGATCCCTCGATCGATCTCATTATCGACCCGACTGCCCATGCAATTGTCGATCACTCAAACGATCCCACTATCGATCTCACGATCGATCACCCCACCGATCCCACGATCGACCTACCGATCGATGCCACTATCGATCACACTGGGATCGTACGATCGATCCCACTATGGATCCCACGATCGATCCCATTATCGATTTCGCTATCGATGACATGATCGATCGCACGAACGATCCCACATTCGATCTCACGGCCTCCCGATTGGCCCAACCATCGGTCCCACAGGCGATATCACGCTCGACCCCACTATCGATCTCACGATCGATACCACGACCGATCGCACAGCCGATATCACCTTGATCTCATTCCCGATCTCACTTTCGACCTAACAATCGACCCCCCAATTAATCCCACGGTGTAGCCG